CTCTAGTTAGTCCTTTTGTTACTAATATAATGTCTGGCTTATTGGTAGTTATCTTTGTATCAGTTTCGGGAAAGTTCGATTGCAGTCTAATTTATGGTTTCTATTTCTTAAATACATTTCCGATGTGTAAAGGCAATGTAGACTAGTGAGATGATTTATTTATACCTTTACGAGAACGTAAACAATTTCGACGGAGCTAAAATTCAATATTAGTTTTATAATTAACTGACATCACAATAAAAGTTGGTTTATTTTTTCCAATTTATGTTGAGTGGGCGTGTAATTAGTAAAATAACGCATCATTTGATAAAATGATTAATTTAAATCATTCAGTTAAATTATTTAAATAAATTTAAATTCAATCTACGTTAAAAATAAATGTTGTCTGTATTTGTATGTTGCAATGTTAGTAACATTAAAATCTAGTTGTATTATATGAATGTACTGAATTGGGTGATGGCAGTTTACAGTGAATTTCGCCTTTTATTTAGATTATAAATTACGTAATCATATAAATTCCTTACCTTCCACCTTAAGTAACGAAATTTTGATTATTTGACGGTAATCTGTTATTTACGGCGAACAAAGCTTTAACGGATTCGTCCAAGTTAATCATATTAAACACATCCGTTGCCTGAAGCGCTTTCGTCTCCTGATATAAAAGAAACCATAAAAACAAAACCACAATTTGCACCGCACTCAAGAATCTCCTCCAATCTTTATGAAGCAGAACGTTCATTTTTCGCGAAAAATATCATTGAAGATGAATGAAAAAGAGATGTGGGTGTCGAAATGAACAAAATAGATGTTATTTATTGTAATCGGTGCATTTCCGGTTGCTGAAACCGGTAATTGGTCAGTCAACTTAGCTTCAGAGCAACATACAGTGGCTCGAAGCAGTTCAGCTGGATGCTGAGACGACTTTAGCAGAGAAAACATTAAAAACCTGTCCTAGAAGAGAAGGAGCTGAGATTAACATAATACGCTAGTGTGGGAACGCACTTGTGAATGAACTTTTGAGGCCACTTTTAATTATCAACTCGTCATTAAATTTATTCAATACGTCGATGTTGTTACCATTACTTTAAGTTTCTCGTTCTTTTTATCATAATCAAGTCCAGTTTCCGATTGAATTAAATCGGGGCAATAAGGACGACGAACAAACCGGGGTATGTAGTATAAGGTTGTGGTTGTCATTATATTGTCAATAAAGTAAAATCTCATGATAGTAAAATTAAATCACCTGTCAATAAAGGAGCAATAGAGGAGCAATTTACACAAGCGAACAACTGCTACAAATTACATTTTCCAGTAAGCTCCGTTAGAAAATGGACTTTTCCTGATATGCAAGGGAAAAAGAGACGGACAGACATCAACTTTTAAAACAAACGACCTCGTGGAGTGAATACAATTTTAGACACACTTCTCTATAGCAATTCACATGTGCCCGACGATGTAAATTGTCAAGCAAGATGAATTGCTGAAATTAGTCGAACGAAACTGCATTGGTACCTCGTATTATTAAAAAAACCAGCAAATTCGATGATTATTAACGGCTTTTCCTCTATGTCTAGCAGCTTTTATGAAATTTTTGATTAATCCAAAACTTTTTTCATTCGCTTTGTACACCGATCTTCTATTAAAATAAAATGTTGAAAACACGTTACTATTGAACAAATCCATGTGACAAAAGGGAACATGAACTCAACATGGAGGAATTACGACTCCAATTTGCTGATACATTTTTAGCGAGTCGAACTTTCATGTAATATCTGGTTTTTATCAAAGGCTCAGAACATGTCACCAACATATGTAAGTATCATAACCAGCGTAATATAATATTTTGATTATCTCCCGCTTAGTCTGGAACGATGCTGCCCCCCGCTTCGGTATAGATGGTTTATTTTTAATTTCGGTATGCAGTAGCAGCGTTCTTGTTTTATCACAACAAAACATCACTCTGTTTTAGTAATGAAACACTGCATTAATTTATTGTTGCACGTCGTTCAAAATGCTGACTTTCCATTATGGATGCGGTAGCCGCCAAACAAACACATCTTAAACGTTTACCTTTAAAATTAATTAATTAAACAAGTAAAACATTCAGATAACTAACTTAGTAGTAGTGTATTCTATTGTAAATGAAGCTAAAAGTATTGTTTATGTTTCATAACAACAGTTATAACAATGCTTCCTATTTGTAAGTATTAGGTACAATGTTTTAAACTTTGATTTAATAATCAATAGGATTAAAATGGATAAATACAAAGCCTAGCGTTTTAACAATAATTACAATAATAAAGTTTCGTCTAAGTTCCGTAAACTAACAAACTTAGTAGTTACCTAAAAGACATTACAGTTACAACAAAGTCTCAAATTAAGCAACTAACTCCAAATGTATAATCTATTATTACATTTTGCTAAGTTGGGGGTCTTCATATATGTGTATAAATAACTAAATGTCAGCACTGTATTTGAATAGATGCATGGAAATAGAATTGTTTTTTGATGTGCAAAGTATTTCCAGTTTATATAAAAGATTTATAATTTTTTTTATTTTTACAAAAATGATGTTATCTCGTATTTAGTCGATTGTGGTGTAACCGCCGTTTTCGTTTTATCGGGATTTACAGATATCAAAGCTTTTTTGTTTTAAAGCTCTAGGAGATCAAAGCGGACTCTAATGCTCAATTATTATACCACATTATTTTCCACTCAACAATGAGCGAATCTTCGAGAATTACTGCAGAAATCGGAGCTTTAAAGCACTTGACTTGCACTATAAATTTCGCAAAGAAAAAACCTGTTTTCGTACGTAATTACGTCCAAGATTTCCAACTTTACGTAATAGGTGTATCATTGATACATATTTGATTGAGGTAGTTAGGAGTTGGGTTAAAAGTCAATAAATGTAAAATATTTACAACTGAAGTATATTTATTGATTAAAATGTGTCCATTATTCTAACGTGAATAACCTACATCACTAAGGAAAAACAATCAATACCTAAACATTAAAGTTTAAATAAACTGAAGGTTGAAATTCTGAAATGTTTTAAATTATAAAGGTTTTTTTTTCTTACGTTTTTTAAAAACTAGTTTTTTTATTTCTTTTTGTATAGGGGGAGGCAAAAATTAAAAACATTAACAAAAATTTATGGCGTTTTAAGAACTGGACATCAAAAATTATTATTAACAAGGACATTACCCGACCATCTACTTGAGGTTCAAATAATTGCCACCCTCATATTGAACACGCCAACACGCACATGACCCTTACTAAATGATGACTTTTGAACTAAACGACCTGGATTGAATTAATCGTTTATTCTTTAAATTTGAGCTAAAACGAGGTAGAAAAGTTTGAATTACGTCATTATTATTATTTCTAAAACAACCTAGGTATAAAACGTGTTAAATAATTTAAACTTTATAACTCACTGAGGGTTAAGGCGATCTCTTGAGCGAAAATTTTCCAATTTTAATTTTTTGTATGTACCTTTTTGAAATATTAATTTTCATTTTGTACAAACGAGATTGGTGCCGAATTTTTAGTACGTAGAAGCAACAACTTTGCAAACAAAAATATTGAGTTTGCTCATTCACTTTCTGGTTAATATTTAATTGTGTTCATTACCGCACGAATATGGTGCAGGATATAATTAGTGAAAGTTAATATACGTTCATTTATTAAATATGGTAATTAAATTCGTAATAAAAAAGCTGCCCAGTAAAGTAAGAATACAGGAAGGAGCTGGTCAAGGGCAGTAGATTTTTGTCAGTGAGTTTACAAAATTGATAATGATTGTAAAAAAGAAAAAGTGTAAGAAGCAAAATTTTTCCCAAACATTTTTTACAAGTGGAGTTAAGTAACTTCTTCCAGATCCCTTAAATTGCTAGAATCATTGCAACAATTGTTAAAATTGCTTCATTTTTGTATGAAGAAAAGAAAGTTTGTTCAATCCTTTGTAAGTTAAATACTGGGTGACAGGATGAAGACATACTGTAGGTTTTGATAAACTTAGGAGCTGTTCAAGTTGGAGCACATCAAACCGACTCATCAATCTCATCATACAACTTTTAATAAAATTCGTTTCAAGTCTGTTATCACATTGTTGCAAACTAAAAGTTTCACAACTTTTAAGAAAATAAATTCTGCCAAGTATTGCTGAAAAGTTAACTAACATTTATTGCTATCCAAAAGTTGTCCTATTGTTTTATTACGAAACTTTCAACATGTTCTAATTTGTTTTAATAGGTAAATATGTCACGTTGCAAGACACAAATAAAACCAAAAGCAACGTCTTGGCAACATGTATTCCCCAAACAGTCTGTGTAGCAGCTGGAACTAGGTTAATAATACCACCGCTTTGCTTTCTCCAAAACTAAAAAACTAAATTGGTTTTAAAAAATGTGGTATAATCTTTAATTTTTGAAATAAAGATTGTTACATGTGATTAATTATTTGGAGAAAATGTAATCGAGCGGAAAAGTTTGCAGGATTAAGAGAACCTTAATATCATTAGCATATAAAGTGTTATTTCCGTCTTAGACATTGTTTCTTCATAGTTGCACTTGTACATTTCAACTTAGTTGAGATTCTTTCGCGCAATTTTCAGCAGGATGTCCTTCCTGGTGTCCGTTTTCCAAACAACCGTAACACAAATGTAAACCACGACTGAAAAAGCGAATTACCCCCGAAGCATGAATGATATTTAACCATCCCATCCGCAGCTGCACAAGGGCCTTCTCCTGTGGCACCTGTTATGTCCGAGACGAGCAGGTGAACTGGATCCCAACAATTAAATTCAACACTGGTTTCGCTCCAGTCAAATAATTCGGAGGCAAGAGCCAGAGTACAGCCTGTCCATTATTTTTCCCTTTTTTGTAGGTAACTACCAGTTAGTGGTATAGCTTGGTTAACAGGTGATGGCAAAGAAACGAAACGATGTTTCTTCGGTCGACTTCGAGATTAACCGCTTCAGCCGCTCCACGTGAAACATTCAGTGCGTCTCGAAGCTCGGAGGTGGAGTCAGGGCAGCTGCGGGGCCTCTGGCATACTGGACACAAATCCGGTTTAAATAAACTCGATCAAAACAAATCGCGAGAAAATAACTTGCAACTTGCAACACCGCAGAATTAGTCGAGAGTGTGTCGCGAAATCGAGAGCATCGCAAGATTCATTCATAAATTTCAGGAGGGTATCTACCTGAGTGTGAAAGTACTAACCATTCATGGATTCGGTAATTACGCGACTAGTGCTTTAACGGTGTGTGAAGCCAACGTTATTTGTAATAACAATTTTAACTATGTGGTTCATTAGTGTTATTACCGGTTTAACTCTTCAGCTAACTTGGGTTACTTTAAGATTTCAGTGAAGTGACTTCAATGATGCGTGAGCGTGAAACAGCTACAAAAAGTTCTGTGATAAATTCTGTGGATCAGTGATAATTGTGATAGATTTGTTCCGTGGATACACTATCTCAAATATGGATTATGTACGAAACATATGTAAGTTGCGTCAGTAGGAAAAATAAAAAATTACATTTACACTTGTCGGGCTTCATCTGTTAATAATTAATGTACAAAATTTTAAATTAATTCTGTCCACATTAATTCACTTGATTTGCCTCCTGTGGCTGAGGTAAATGACTCGATCTGACTCGGGTCCAGATGCTAACAGACTGTCATATTCATAAAAACTTCGTTTGTAGGAGCAACGAAAAGGAAACAGTGCAATTAACTTTGCAATTTAATATATCCTCTCGAGTTTTGAAAAATCACTAAAATAGACTTCAAGTTTCCCATAGATAATGATTGTGAGAAATAACGCTATATCTTCATTAAAATTAAAAATCGACAACAGGAAGTTCCACACTTATAATTTTTCATAAAAGAAGTACAGTGTGTTAGCGACACGTTTCTAGCTACTCCAATTTAAGTTAATCTTTTAACAAACTCATATCTGACAACTAATTTTACACGTATTGGAACATCGCCAAAATAGTAATTATTTCAAGAGATTCAAAATATTGTTATCTGAATTGATCTCCAATTCGTAATAATTCAGATGTTTCAAAATATGTAATAATAATTATGCATTAATTAGAGCTAAATTTTTCATTAATAAATAAATAAATAAGTGACCTCTCTCATAACCGAAATCTGTATGGTTTCAATCCAGCTGAATGCAACTTAAATTATCAATAGACAGTAATGTCTGAATAATTGAAAGGACTATTTTAAAGTTGGAAATGTTGCCTTTCATTAATTATAAGGGGCTTTTCAATCCGGTTACTTTGTGTCTGTAACATTAATACAGACAACATTCGAGTTTTATAATTAAACCCGAAAATATTTTGGATGTGATTTATTTTTTCAGCTGAAAAAATAATAAGACTGCTAACAAGTTTGGCACGTATTGCTTATAAAAGCGGGAGTATTTAAGCGTCGTTTTTCATTTCGAAATGATGTTATATTTAAAAATCATTAAAATTCTCATTTAACGCGAATGAGAGTTTGTTTCATGGTCGAGCGAAGTGCATATTTCAAAGTAGCTGTCCTGCCTTTCAAGACCACCACCAGCTCCCTCTAGGCGCTTACTCTTGAACTGGCTGTACTTGTTTTTACAGTCGCCGGATACAAATCAGGTTTTGAAAACCCATTTCCGTTGAGCTTTTTTTTCAGCTGATATCTTGATACGGACTTGCTTGACCAGATCTAGATAGGCTGGTAATGACCTGCAATGGATGATTATTATTTATGTCATATCCCTATCTTTTTCCATTTTTTCCTACCTAATTATTATCACTTAGTCTCCATTACAAGAGCGTTCGTGCTTTCCGACCATATCGTTTTCTGATATTCTAGACTTCTACAGCAATAATTATTGTTTCAGGAAAGCGAATTTAGCGGGTCACCTACAATCATTAAATTGTAATTTTGACTAATAATAATAGTCAGCATAATGATGGGAACGTTTTTTTAACACGGTATACTTTGGGCATTATTTACAACTTCCTCTGATTTGGAGGTTCTTAAAACAATTAGTTCGGACCATATTCGGCGAAAGAATGAAACCATGAATGAACGAATCAATGAACAGGATAATTTGAAGAGCTTTTTGAAGCGCTTTTTTCAACTCTAATTTAAAATTGGATTAGTGCGGAAAATTAATACTTAAAAATTGCTAACATTGTACATTTGCTTATCGTTTTATTATTTGAAAAAATGACAGTTATAAAATGTTGTTTCGGCTACGTAATACATACCCAAAAAGCTGGTAACGGAATTACATTTCCTTCAACTTTCATTCGTCTAGACAGCCAAATTATATTTCTAGACGTGTTTCGTATTCAAATATCGAAGTATTGAATGGGATACTCGAGGGAAAGTCATGCAATACGGGAAATTTACAGTATGGGTTTTGGTTATACCTTCTCATATAACAAACCCAGAATAATTCCCCTACTCTCATAATTTTATCATAATACACATTACACCCATCAAAAGCGGTTATTGCGACTGTTTACTAAATAAAATGTTTTATCGTAATTTATTATAAATGTACTCGTATTACCAAAAAGTTCTTCTTACAAAAGTTCTTGATAATTTTAACTAATAAGCTACGCTTCAAAATTGGACTTGAAAACTTCTTAAAAATGTATACCTAAACTAAAAGTTTTGAGCAAGAAAGTATAACAAAAGTATTTAAACAATTTGGTTTTTGTACTAAGTGCATCTACTTGTAATGAATCAAGTATACAGTACTAGTTGCATGGGCCATCTATACTCCATACATAAGTATTTAAGTGTTTTTTTTTTCTTTTTAAAATAAGGAATTACCTATAACTGTAGTGTTGTGAACTTAGAAATTTTTTTCGACTTTACGAAACTTTAAATTTTGTTTATTGAGTAAATTTTTGAAAAAAATATAAGGTATCACACGAAAAGAGACCTAAGGGGATTATAAACGGCTTTTCATTTTCTGGTATTGTATATATGTAATTACCTAAACTTTTGATTTTACTCTAGTGTAAACAGAATTTAAATAGCGAACTAGTGCATGGTACATAATTAATTTTTTTTTTTTTTTGGATGTTATGACTATTTCTTTTTTAGGTCCTTGTTCGCAAAATCATTTTCATTTTGGTTAATTTATAAGATTTTAATAATACTTCTATTTACATACTTGTATGCCAAAGGATTTAAAAATGAAAAAATGAAAAGTGATAATTTAGTGATTGCAGTGAATCACTGGTTATAAAAATTGTTTTTTAACAGTTACGAAGAATTTTAACTCATTTTGAAAAAAAGCAAAGCTTTAGGTTATAAATAATGTTTATGTGAAACAACTAGGATGTATCATAAGACATTTGAAAAAAACTAAAATAGCATAATTTGCTTTCTAACTTTTTCATTGTTATTATAATATATACATAGGTATCTTTAGAGATATAGTTTTTATGGTTATAAGTATAAGCCCTCTCAGAAAGTCTATATTTTGTGATGCTTGTCCTTGAGATATGTTAACCTGATTTAGTGGAAGATGGTATACAGGACAAAGTTTTGAAATAAAACCTTTAGTGTATTTTCTTCAGGCGAAGAATTTTCGTTGGCTGGGAGGCATGACACAGTCAAGGAAGAACTACCATTTTCCACGAAATCAGGCCTCTCAGAAAGGTTTTTTAGACAAGTGGTATGCTACTTTTCAATCTATTAGGCGTAAGCAATTTTTTCTGGATAAATAGATAATACTGAGTACTATAAAACACAATTGTTATTCTCAACGTATTTAGTTAATGTACAAGATAAATAATAATATGAACACTTGAGGAATAAAGAAGTAGTTAAGGATGTACATACGTATAAAGTGGGTGTATTTTATAAAAGGTGACAATGTAGATACGGATATATATACTTAGCAAAATATATACTTAGTATATACTTAGCAAAATTAAGACCTAAGTAAAGTTATGAAATTGAATTTTCAATTATCCCGGCATACCACTGTATGCATTTTTACATTTTAGCATCTATTGTTGTGGATTATCATTCCCGTATTATGTATGCCTTGACTGATTTACAATACTCTGGCATCTTGTAAGCATTTTGAACAATTCTGCTATCGGTCTGGGCTAAATTAATTTGTTAAAATAAATATTTACTGGAAGCGACGCTTCGTCAGTATTTACAAATTCGGCAAATTATTATGTTTAAAGGCTCTTGCTAAACTCAGTATGTAAACAAAATAAGAACTTGCAGCTTATAATTAGAGATGCGGGTTTAATTGCTTAATACGTCGCGACATCAGCTTCTGAACAACAAAGGAAGACACCTTACTCTTGAAACATAATCCCGTATGTTACCCGGGAAGTGCGGCGGAAGAACGAGCGGGAAAATTAAGGAAAAGCGTAGAGGGCGGTGTACAACGGAGGGCTACAACGAATGTAGACTGCTATCCATGTATAACTTACAAAGGGATAATAAATTCCAGCAGATCGGGCTGTTTGTCGAGGAGTTGCGGTGTGTAAGCTCGACTCGACCTGCGCTAGCAGATAACTTCTGTTTTATAATAGTAGATTTGTGTCATAATTATGAAAGCACAACGACTAATCTCTAATGTTAATCCTTTTTATTGTATAAGCGGTGGCTCTGTGACATATTTAAGCTAATCTACACAACGCCACTTTAATGCCCATCTAAACAGTTATAATTGTTGCTTTTTTAACAGTTTATTTAAAGAAAATCCTTGTGTTAAGACTAAATTTTGTCGCCGGGATTTACACTTTTCTGTTTTCTTGTATTTTATCTTTATTTGGAGTTTTAATATTTAATTCGGAAACCTGCCTGGAAGATGTTCCCGGGGGACAACTTTTATCCTTGTATTAGCCTATATCGACTAGAATTTGGTTTAAATTTTCATTTACACTCTTCTTGACTGCCGTAGACTTAAATAATGTTATAAAGGTCGGTAGCGTAACCGGATATTGAAATCGGGGTAGCTTATATGCTAAAGGGTGAGAGAGACGTACAAGATTAAAATGTTGAACAGCTGTAACACAACCTTTTTGATTAATTTGTTTTATTTCATATCTATTGTAATAAAAACTTTGCACCAATATATTATTTTGTATTATCTTTCTAAATAAGTGACTTCGTATTTAGTTACTGTTATGTTATATAAGAAAAATGTAAGTAGCTTTGGCCATTAAGATTCTTCAGTTGTTTCTTCTTAAGTGCTTGACACAATTAAGTCAATAGAAAAATGTATCCTTTTCAGTTTATTAATACATTCCGATAAGGATTATCTCAAGAGGAGAAACTTTTATTCGTAAGACAAATGCATCTTTGGTTAATAAATTTCCGGTTTTATATGTGGTAGTCTTCACAAATCTCTCTCTAAACTTTGTATTTTACCAGAGTTTAACGTATATCCGTTTTCGTATTAACATGACATTATGTTTTGAAGTAACATTAAGTAAAAAGTTTTAACAACAAATTGAAACCGCTACAAAATGGAGTTTAAGCAGCTTTTCTTGTGAAGTTTCTCGGGTCAAAGATATTAGACTCTATGCTGAAACTTGTGTGTAATAAATTATAGTTACGCAGACAAATGGTGGTTAATTTTAAAACCAAGACCAAGAAATATGCTTACAAAATATTAATTTCGCTTAGAAATGAGTTTCAATACAAGGATTATTCTAAAAGCTATTTCAGGTAGACCAACAACAGCATAATGGTATTAGCATTTTAATTTTTATTGCAGTACAATAAACTAGTCATTATTATTGTAATTGAAGTGTGTCTATGTATATTAACACTCTACAATGTCCACAAAGTTTATTTCGCACACCAGTACAAAAATAAATACAGGGTGCGCCAAAACTCGCGCCCTAGAGAAAAATTTCATGTAAGATAGTATACCAGAAACCTGGAAAAAATGTTTAAAAAACTCTATCTGTCAAAAAAATTTGACATTTATTTTTTGACATTTGACATTTTTTATGTCTATTTAATGACATTGATGATCTTGTATATGTTTTTTTTACAATTATTTAGTAAAGGTACAAAAATTTTGTCAATAAAAGCCACAAATAACATTGAACAGAGTTACAATTTAGGATACAGCTACTTTGCTTCCTCCTCTAATAACCTATAGCAAAAAAACTTGAAAAATTATTTATCCAACAGAAATAAATAGAGTCAAAGTGCAAAATTTAAACTCTCATAACTTCGAAATTTTTATAGATCAAATTTTTTTAACATTTTTTCCATGTTCCTGGTATCTTACCTTATATGGCATTTTTCTCTGACGCGCGAGTTCTGGCGCACCCTGTATATTACTGTGTTCCGTGTTTTACACTTGTAAAGTTTTGAATCGCAAATGTGATTAGCATAATTGCCAACAGCTTCGATACTTCAATTTTGAAGTGTCAAAGTTTCAAGTATTTATTTACTGCTTAAGGATGCTTTAGAGTTACTGTTACGGTGATCTCCATTCGTGTTACTAGCACTAAACTTTTTACGTTGAGACTAAATGAATGCAGTTTTGAGCCAACAATAATATTTTCTACAATTTGTATCACGTTTTCCATAACTCTGCTTTTTATCGACAAATTCATTTTTTAAATGGTTTACCCGCGGTGTTTATGAGGCTCTATAAAGGATTATCTACCACCTACAAGCCAACATTTTCACTTAGTTCCAGAATGGCTGGAAATATGAAATTTGGCACATGCAACAAAAGATGGCAAAACTATGGAAATATGAAAAAAGGATATAATTTTTCATGCATTTGTTTAGTACGGTATTTTGAGACTTTATCAACAAAAAAAAACGTTTAAAGCGATTTAAAAGTACCCTTATGAACAAATGCAAGTTCTGTTTCATCTGATTTACAATACCAATAATCTTTCAGTTAAATTATCCGGATGCCTGGAAAAATATTGTCTTCCTGTTACTTCGCTCTGGAACTCATGGAAGTGTTAATTTGAATACTCAATATTTAATTGCACAATTCAATAATTACTGGCGTATTTGTTGAACGAGTAACACGCGAGAAATGTTATTGCATGTGTTGTAGTAGATATATTTTTTGAATTTAATTCCTGGCCTATGGCACTGCCTCTAACCTCGTTAGCATATATGTTGTTAAATAAGCATGTGAAACCTCTCAATCATGTTTTTTTGTAAATAATACAGTAGATTGGTTAATTTTATTTGCACTTATGGTAATTACAACCACGCTTGTTTCATGTAACATTTACCTTAAGTTAAGGATCCCGCGGATGCATAATTGTGTTTTAAGGAGAAACGCAAATTGCACTTTACCCAAGTGGCTTGTAATGTAAAAATATAATAAAATACAAAGAAACTAAAACGAATTAAATGTATCACGTTAATGCTGCATTGCAGTACACCTGTTAGCGTAGCATACAAATTCCAACACTTCTGCAATTTCGCGTTTGTTTCCTTCGGAATCGAAAATGTTTCGTATAATGAAGGAGACAGAAGTACGTGGAAGCTAGTTGTTGCTTTCGTTACATGACTTTGGACTTTTCTCGTATAATTAGGACTCAGATGCAGGCTGCACGGAATTAACTAAATAAAATGCTTTTCAGTTGGTTACGTATTCAAGCAATTATGTGCAAATTTATTAATTTCAATGGTCTTATTTTGCGCCGTATTAAAATCTCGGTTGGTGTTTTTGCTTGACTCTAGTTTAATTACAAAATCCAACACGGCCGAAAATGGACCTTTACATATTTGGAGCAAATCCGGGCCAAATTAATAAGTCAAACAAATCGAGCAATAATTCCGGGTTAAGTAAATACCGGAACGCCACAAGGAATTGTCTTAACTAAACAAATAAATAGAGCAGCCGACTTCAGGGGATAATGCACCTGAGGGACATAAATCTACACCATCCTCTGGACAGTTGGAGCAACATAGGAATCCGATACATTATTAACCACAAGCGCCTCCGGAGTCGTTTAATGTTAATAGCTAGTAAATATATGAAATGGTCGGCAAATAGCATGAGATTTGGCAAATGTATAATTATTTATCTGTGAAATTGATCTGCTAACGGGGTTGGACGTGCGCCAAAAACTATTACCGATTTCCCGCGACCTGTGCGTGATGCTGCCTACTCTTATAATTCATTAATCTATACAAACGAGGAAATTACTAATGGCACTGCAACAAAGCAAATGATATCTGATTCCTACACGAAGCCATGGCGATATTAATCTAAATATGCAAGGGCGTTAAGGCCACATTTGTAAGACCCTATTACAATTTGCGTTGTTATGAGACTACTGGAGAAGAATTTTAAATTATCCTCACCCATTTATAACCATCTTGCGTACGGGAAAGGTTTGCGTCGGGGATCATCAACAGAGTTGCCGCATCAATGTACACATTCCATAAATTTGAATTTTTCATACATTGCTGCTGTTCTAACACTGTCTTTCCTTGTTTCAGTCTACTTTATGACCATTAGTCTAAGTTTGGTTTATGGCCAGCAACAGTACTTTAGAGTTCAACCTCGAGATGTCAAAGTGCAGGAGGGTGGCGAAGCTATGCTAGAATGCGAAGTTGCCAATCTGGCAGGTCAAGTGCAATGGACCAAGGACGGATTTGCCTTAGGTATGATGTAATTTTTTTAACAGAATTTTTTTAATGTAGCGCCGTCTCTCATTGAATATTTAACTTTTAAATTCCATCAACTTCTCAGCAAACTTACTTTTAACTTGGAACTCATAAACAGATGAAATGCTAGAGGCAAGAACCAACATAAAGTTTCTTTCGCAAACTAAGGCCAAGGTACTTTATGAATTTGGCTGGTGATAAACCTAAATTAGATTTGTCAAGTTATGACATGCCCCTGTTCAAAGAAAATATTCCATTACAGCAAACTTTTTAATTTAAAACAATTTGCAGAAAATTTCAAAAGAAGACTCGGACCGATTTTTAAACTCGCGTCAATAAAAAAATAATCAATATTAATCAGTATCAGTCACAAATTACAAGATCGTAGCTGTTTATGTTCTGTGATATCAGAAAGCTATTATTATAGCTAACTTCAATCACACGCTAAATCTAACCGAAGCCGTTTAAAATGCCACAAAACAAAGACAGTTGGGATAAACTGCTACCTAGCCGGATTTTGATTATATACCATTAGGTCATTACTATTAATGGTCCAGATCTAGAACTGGTTTACTTCAAATTATAAAAAACTTGTAGATTTGGTGGTCGTCTTTTGAAATAAATTTTAATTAATGATTCTAACATTTTTTCAAATTCAAACATGTTTCAAATATAATAATTATAAATATCTAGGCTCGTTACCAAACGGTTCCATCTTACTCTTTTTTGAAATAACACTCAATTAATGGACCGACAAACAAAATTTGTATTACAGGAAAAGTAATTCAATGTTTTTACAACGGTTTCACAATTATGACTGCCATTTTCATCTATGAGAGGCAACAATAAGAACTGTGAATCTCTATTTTACCAGCGGCACCGCTGGCATGAAATCAAAATATTTATGCGGATGTTTCATGCTGAATCAATATTATTTAAAAGGGACGCCGTTTGTAGAAATTCACAAGAATGTGTTAGGGAAAATAATTTACAGCAAATTATTAGCCGTTATTTTCCGAGGAAAACCAACCGATTCTACGTTTATTGAAACCTTTGAGAAAATAATAATATTCCGGGAATGACCACTTTATTTTCTCATGAGAATGGGACTAGAATACTCAATGAAAATTTTGGGTTAGGGAGGGGAAGATGTTCTCAGGGTTATAGCTTAAAGTTATGTCCACAAAATATTTTCGTAGATTATTAAAGGAGAATTTCGGAATTTTCATTGGGCAAAGTGTGAAAAATATCACTCTCGTTACAGGTAAATTTACCCTTCAAATATCTGAAAAAAGTTTTCAGTTTTGACATTTAATGTTTGAATATAAAGTTTTATGCCATTTTTACAAAATTAATGTTTATCATTGGCGTCTTTTAAGTCTAAGAGCTGCACCATAATGGCCTGAAGTCTTCTTTAATATTACTGTTTATTTTTAATTGGGTATCGTTTACATTGTGCTTTTACTCTTGTGACATTTTAGTTTAATTAAATTCTAGGCTTAAAAAACCAAATCAAATTTTAGCAACCGGTCGAAGCAAGTGTCTGCGATAAATTAGCTGTAGGCGCTTTGACCGTAATTTCTGAAATATTGATAAACGATAACGTAATTTAATTAGTGTTTTGATTGTCTGCAGGGTTCTCGTCGGTCATCCCGGGTTTCCCTCGATACTCTGTGATCGGTGACCGTCGTCATGGCATATATAACTTGAGGGTGAGCAATGCCTCCCTTGAGGACGACGCAGAATACCAGTGTCAAGTGGGACCGGCAAGGCTTCATAAAGCAATTCGAGCAAACGCCAGACTTAATGTCATATGTAAGTATTAAAATGTTTACTTAAGCTTTGGTTAATTAAAGCCTGAGCAGCCAACAACGGAATAAATAACTTGCGCCTTAATTGTCAGATAATCGCGGTTTATACATTTTAGATGTTAATCTCGTATCTCTGCGAGTAATTGCAAATTGAAACTAATTACTCTTACCTGAGAGATAGTAGAGTGATAAATACGTAACGTATTTTGTCCTAACTTCTAGTTGCTTCTCTTCATTAACTAAATTGTTAAGTGGTTAAGTAATTTCGTGTCTTTATCAGAGGGGTGTTTGATCACAAAGAGATTCATTTTTTGACTGCGTGTAATTATTATTCAAGAGCTCTAAACGGCAATATAATGCACACTTAATAAATTACAAGTTAAGGCTTTAATAAACAGTGCACGTGTTGGGAGATATGGGGGTACCTTCATTAGGTGTAATGTTTCGTTATTGCCAGCTTAATGAAATTCGTTGGAACGTGTTACTTTAAACCAACAAATTTAATGTCGTCTCACCCATTCTGGAAAATCTTGGTCCTCGCTGCCCCTGACCCAGTTTCCTATTTACCACCAGGAAGTAGCGCGAGTTACAATTTTGTAAAAGAGCTTTATTGTAATATCCTGTAATGCAATTACGACACACTTGTGCTGGTGGAAAATCTAGCAGAGAACTTCGTTTCCAAGAAGTTCCTATCCCAGCAATTACAAGGGCAGGTATGAACAAAATTCCGCAAAGATCCTCATTTAGAATTACAGGTTAGTTGTAATTCTATATTACCTCTCATGTAAATTTAACCTAGCAAATTGAATAATCCAACAAGCAAACTCTAAATTAGTTTAAGGCAACCCACTGTCAGCTTCAAAAGTTTAATTCATTACTCGTATAAGCTCAACAAAGACAACTTTATAACAAACAAACAGTCCAATGCAAATTTGTTATAATAACTCACGCTGTCTGAGCGCTAAGAAAAGTATTTTACATTGTTCCACTTGTCCGTTAAAATGAATAAAATTATGTAATGCGCGAAAAACTATTTACTTTAAATACGATATTTGAAAGATTTACATTGGACCAATTTAATATTCGGCATGATAGCTAGTCCAAGCATTTCGTCGTTTATTTGAGTTTCCAACAAAACTTCCGACAGTAGCTCCAAATTTTCGAGACTGTTATGTAAATACGAAATTAATTAATTATCGGAACTGTCAAACTTAAACATGATAGTCTAATCCATTGATGTTTTTGTCCAGGGGGAGCAAAACTTCAAAGTTTGTGCCTTTTTAATACATTTCCAAATTTAGGTTTGTGGTGTAACTGGAGCGAAAAGGGTATACAAATTGTGTTTTAAAAGTAAAAAAAAAACACCAACAAAAGTTACACACAAAACAATTATCCATTTGCTTCAATTGACTGTGCCCCTAAAGCGCTTAATTTGAAATTCTGTTGCGACAAAAATATCCTGCTTCTGAACAAATGTATGTCTCTGCAATTAAGTATCATTTTCATAATAATACGTATTTAACGTGCAAAGAACAAAATAAAGTAATTTTTTCCCGAAGTTTGTTACTGGGAGCGATATTTTCCGTGCAAAGTTTCGTCCGCGGCTTTTCAAGTCGAGTATTTGCAGTCGCGACATAAGTTCACCAACCGGTGTTTAGTTTAGCTCGGCTATAAAACGAGCTTTTACGGAATGAAAGACGTCTGTTGCAATAATGCTTTCATGTCGCCAATGGCAATTTACTAAATTTAATCCAATGAAATAGAAAAAAGACGAGCAGCATTTTTAGTGTTTGCGAATGTGTGCTTCAAAATGTTGACAATAAAGTTGAAACATGAGATTAAAACGATTAAATATGTTGCTCCACTGTTTAAAGAGTGGTAGAAGTGGGAAGCTTTACACGAACGACGTTTGTTAACTGAAATCACGGTTATAAAACATTTTTATTCCATTCCTAAATAGAGCTAGTTAGTTAAATTGATTATAAACTGGATAATTAAATTTATGCACCTACCACACGGGCCGTAATTATTTGCCTGAATTGCTTATTCGTTCAGCATCAAACATAATCAAATCTGCTATAAATTCGTCAGAATGGATTGCAGATTTATGACGTTCATCCACCGATGCACTATTATATGAAGTACAATAGACTAATTTTATGTCATAGTTATTTTAAAATTTTAAAAACATACTCAACTCTCCAGTTGGCGAAGTTTTCTAATTAAATTATTATTATTCAAGCCAAATTGAAAACTATGTAACAAAGATTACTCATCAGAAAAACGTTCCACAAGTAATAATGAAAATTTTTTTGAAGCAACCAACATTACATATCAAAGATAACGTGGATATTAAAATATTTAGTTTTAATAAATTAAACACAGTGACCAAACAACACACTTCAACTTTAATTTTGTGAGAATTATTAACATGTTGCCGAAAAGACCAACAAGATTCTCATTTATGAAGAATATTTGAAAAACGCTTCGCAGACTGCACGTTTCTATTCAGCGCGATATCCACATAAACGGACTTTCTAAAACTCATTTTTACTGATAGAAATTTGTCAAAAATAAAATTACGATTACTATGTTTAACTAATTAAAACGAAATATACTAATATCCACGTTATCTATGAAATGTAATGTTTGTTGCTTTAAAAAAATCAGGCTCATTATTATTCGTAGGACATTCTGTATGTAAGTAAGTTTAAGAAACAAGTCATATACAAAATAGCAATGGTTTTATTTTAGAGTTGCACCTACAAACTGGGTGTAATCTATCGATGCATTTCTGAAAAGGTTAAGTAAAAAAGTCTAATTTTACGAGTATTTTTCTATTAAATTTGTATTCTCCATCCATGTTTCCTTCTATAGAATTGTAGCACTCCTTTTTGATTCAAAACAATATTAAAAATGTATGTCCAAAAAGATGAGAGAAAAGCTCCAACACTCCTTCCAAAAGTTTTAAATTCGAATTTTATTATAACTCGCATGGGCTATTTGGGTCGCCAGATAAAAATTCAACTTCTTCAAAAGCAGCTTTTATTGCAGCAGCTGAATTTATAATAACAGGAATAAAAAGCATTTGTAGATTTTATACGGTGGCATTAGTTAAATATTTATGATTTCTGAACTGTCTCGCTTCATAGGGTTGCTCAGTGGGGAGCTTCGTGGAAGTGTCAAGACGTTTATTTGTGAAACTATTAAGATGCTTCGTGTTAGTTTAAGAGTTTATGATTAGGAACTGCCAGCTTTGCTCTGGTGTTGTTTTAGAGAGTGATGGCATTATGTAAGTTCAGTTAAGTTTATTTTAATCTTCAAGTTGACTGCAAACGACTAGACCAAGTGTTAATTATTTGAAAAATGTTGAAATCCAATTTTGGGATGTGATTTATTGTTTTGAGAACAAGGGAAATGCTGCTGTTGTCTGTTTTTCCTTGGGGTCTATTTTCTTTTGATTTAATGCTGGAGATGGGTATGCAATATAAGGGTCGGTGTAAGCACATGTAGTAAACACAGCCGTCAGATCATACGATAATACAATGGAGTTGCAGGCTTTGTACAGGTATTATCAGCCTCACTATCCAGACTATTATATAGGCATTATGAGACACTACCAATGGAACAATGTCCCTGAACATTATATGCCAAATCTGTTGACTAATTGAGGAATTAAAGTAGACATTGCATTCAGGATGCATAAGTAAAATCCCGACCCGTTCAATGTTGTCTTCATTTCCAATAACAAGCTTCCCCACAGAACCATTTTATCGGTTCAATGCCGGCCTTTCGAACAAATTTGCTTCCATTCTCATCGCTGACGTTCGAGTATTGTTGGTATGAATAGAAATACCCTTAATTTTCTCGTTAAAAGAAGCTCCACTTCGCTTAATTTCATTTCATAACCCGCCTACATGCATAATTTTGCCATACAAGTGAATTTAAACGGTCATGAGGAACTTGTGCAAATTGTAGTTCTAAATCGAACAACTAAGATTTTAAGGCCGTTTAATGAAGTCCAGATTATCCTCGACATAAAGCCTAAATAAACACCCCATAAATTTGCAACTGTTACCTCCACAGAACCGCACTTTACGTCCTCTTATAAAATTGGTTCCCTATCAAGCGGATATAAAAATAGGTAATGGGGTTTACAATCTCGTAGATTGTTTCTATTATAACGAAACATCGTGCAACAGTTTACTTGAAAGGACATCAAAGGGAAGCCCGATGCTAAAGAGACCGGTTGCGTTGAATTTAATTTAATGGTGTATTTTAGAACACCTGTCGGTTCTTGGTGATGGGGTCGAATTAGCGAAAGTGGCAACAGCCCCGTTTGCAACGTGAAGAATACTATTCGCTTGTCGTACGTTTCTAACTGTGACAAAATAACGTCACAGGGTGTTCTGACGGTTATTTCGAACATAAAGATGATTATTTGAGGTTATGCTGTCGCAAACTGCTTATTACACCGTCTATGACACGGTTATTGCTCATACTTTGCTACCTTATTCCAGGAGGAATTTAACTCGATACCCGGAGGAACGTCGACCTAAACATTAACTTTTAAGATAACTTTCGTAACGACTGCATTTCAGCCAAGTTTGATTGGAATTAAAGCTCCCATAAGCGTTTCATTTGTCATAGACAAGTGTTTTCGCTTATGAGACCATCATATTCCACTTTGCAGTCTTCGTAATCTTCCTATTATCTCTTCAACATTTTATGAATGATTCTAATTGAAGAAAATTACATATTGCGCCACGCTAAGACTTTCAACCGTGCTTTTAGCTTTCAATTTGCGCTTGATGTAACGGGAGCTTTCCTGTTTTTTCCAAAGTTGTGGAGAGACCTGTAATGTTGCTAAGTTGTATGTGAATAGTTTGTTCCGCTTGAGTATCTTTGAGTATGCAGCATAAATACGATCGACTAGTTCCGATCGAAAATAGAACAAATATAACGCTGATTAATACTAACTGTAAAAGGAATAAATTAGTTCTTGCTTTCCTACTTCGAGATTTGCTGCCAGGTTCAGTGAACTGATGCTGATCTTTCAGAGTCGGAGACGTCTATTTAATGTGTCTTTCTTTTTCATGTAGGAGTTTTATTAACTGAAATTGGCTTACCGTGGCGGTGCCTCATGATTATTATCTTGGAAATTTTATACAAATTATGATTTGACAATTTTGTTCATTTATCCTCAAAATAATGGAATAATAGGTACAAAAATAAATTTAGTGGTTTATTAATTAGGTTTTTTAAGAGTGGTACATGATTTTCAGTTTATTAGCAAAAAGATTTGATGGACAACGTTAAATTCAGCATTAAATTATGTTATTATAATATCAAGTCGATTTTGGCAGTGTGCCCAAAGTTACTAAGTGCTTCTTGTCATTTTGTTAAGTAAATGTCAACATTAATTTCGCCTTTACTGTCACATTTGTCAGCAAACAACATAATTATATGCATAAATTAATTACTAATTTGTCAAAATATTTTATTTTTTGTTAAAAATAATATATTAATATGTATGTAAATAATATTAAGTTTATAATATCTAGTGCAATTTTTTCTTAAAAATCTGTCACTTTTTTCTTCATGAAGTAGTGGAGTCTCTTGCCTCTAAATTTCTCAACCGCATAACAAAACCTTATTATTCGCGGTGAAATATTTTCACTAGAAATATAATTTTATTAATAATCGAATTGTAGTGGTTTTTAAATATTTAAATAAAATTGCATTAAAAAGTTGCATGGAAACTACAGTATGTACAAAATGTCTAAGTATATAAATATATACTTTTTGGAAGTTTTTCACTCAAAAACTATTATTATTTAATGAAGATGTTTTTAAACATAACTAATAATTATTTGAATTAAAATGTAATTGTAATTAATCTAATAATCTACGTTAAATTAAAACATTTATCACACGGATGATTTTTTCTGCATTTTGAATTTTTTGACTGTAGATTTCAAGTGTGAAGTTTTTTACTATATAGGACGTACTGTTGAGAATATTTTTGTAGCTCGGAGGGTTTTATGAACATTTGCTTTCAATAATATAAAAGGAAAATCTTATATATAATTAATTCAAATATGTATACACAGTATTTGCCGACTGACATTTTTGCTATAAGTAAAAAGTTGTTTATGTTTAAAATAAAGTACAAAATAAAGTAAAATCAGTACAGTTCAAGATTTACGCTTATATGGGAAAAACGAAATAACGGAAAACAAACTTTAATATTAACACATTGCGCCTTACAGTTGCCTTTTCACGAAAGGATGGGTTATTCAACGCCGAAAAGACTACTTAGTAGTAAAGGATGATAAAAATGGACCTTTCGGCGACGCAATATAATTGATTGAATAAGATCGTGGCCGGAACATCGAGCGATAGAAAGTGGCAATTCCTGTTGGTGTGTTTTCTCCAGTCACAGAGAGCGCGAGGCATATTAGTAATTCCATTTGATGAGTCCGGAGAGATCCCTAAAGTCCGGTGCTTGGCTCCGGGCCAGAGCTTCAGTCACGTTCTCGGTCATCTGTAATGTCACGCCGTCCTCTTTATTAGCCATAACAAGCCATTCCTGAACTAAATGCATTCCAGATGCGCGCCGTTCCGGCCCATTTTCTATTTCATATCGACACAAGGAGGAAATCGACGGAATTTATAAACGCTAGGGTCGCGTTCCCATATCCGACAGACAACGCTAAATCATTGCAGCCCCATTTGCGAATTACTGAAGCTTGCTCCAATTAAATCATGCTTATTTTTATTGCAAAATGGACGCCGGGCCCGGGGCAGCGACTATCGATCCATTCAAGTGATTTGTGGAAAAGTTATTTACTGTTTATCATGTACTGTATCAATAATAAAACTTTATTCAAAGAAACTGCAAATGTTTGTTTGATTGCATAGCCCGGGAAAAACAATTTTATTATAAAATACCTTTAACTATTTATCAATTGAACCAAGCAATTATTGTGCGATTTGCTTTATTTGTGCAGGAATGCACATTGTGTTATTCAATTAAATTGTTTATGTTACATAGCCGTAATCTAATTATAGAGGCGAATCTGCACAGTGAGTGACAGTACTTATCCTAACTTTGTGTACCACAGATTTACTAGTGCAAGGTGACAGATCACCATTTCATTTATTAATAATGCAAAGTTAATTCTGCTGAAACTCGCAGCTAGGAATGTTAATGTAATAAATTTGAACAAGAAGCTGCAAATTTCAGTAAGAGTGGCAGGTGCTACACAGGATTATCGTTCAATTTCTAAGTTCGATTATTATGTTTCACCACATGACTCACTTACTATGCCAACTGAACTTTTAAACTCTATAAATAAAAGCAACTCTATTTGATTGACACTTTTCATAATAAATAAAGTAGATTAAAGTATGGACATTATTCGAAATCGACAGTAATTCCATACATATATCTATAGGTGATTCAAACTTGATATAAATCAACTTTCACTTACTTCTTTTCCTACAAGTTGTGGGGTTAATTTGTGAGAAAAATAAAAAAATGATACCTACTACAGTTAAGTTTTGGGTATCAAAAGATCATTATTTTTTGAAAAATCTCTGCTATGGCTTTGGTTATTTTTGGTTTGTGGGTTAACATCACATGAAAATAATTACTTATGGCAACAAGTTTACATTTAATCAGAACGTTCTATTTTACCAATTCAAGTGTATATATAGATGAATAGATAATGAATGGGATCGGTCAATTTCCATTACATGATTGTTAAAGTATATATTTGCTGTAAGAGAAATAATCTAAAATTCGCCAAAAGCATTAATACGAGTATTGATTATAATTTCCACATTCAATTGCGACAGTTTAGTTTGTCGTATGATTTTCTCTCCTAGGAAAAAGCTGTAGATGCGATTAAGAGTAAATGACACAACGCTAGAAAATTAAGTTATATACCAAACGAATTATGTGTAAAAAAGTAAAAAGTAAGCCCAAACTCACACTAGTGCTGCAGTTCGTAATTCTGTTTTGTACGCTTTCCGAATTCAAAAGGAGTTGAAACTCCAGTGGAAGCAAATTGGTACGTTAAGAGTGTCACTCTTTCAAGGGATCAAACGTGAAGTTCTACTGGAAACAAATAAAAATTCTAGCAGCGCGAAACTCACTATTAATGCAAATTAAATTTGTGTAAACACTCTGGAGTAGGCGAAGTTTAGATTTTAGACGTCTTATCCCTTCCTCAGAGTTTTTTCAGAAATACTTATATAACGAAGTGATTACACTTTTAGCGCCGTTTAAACTAATTTGCGGTAAGGCAATAAAGTCAATTTTGTTTCCAATTACTTTCATTAAGACTCAGTAGGTCAATTTTCTGTGTTCAAGTTATTCGCAAGGGACTGGAATGTGTTTAAAAAATTTCGTTTTATTGTCGGATTGAGGCAACTAGTCTTGTAGATATATGGACGCAATTTAATAGCGTCTGGATTGTTTCTCTGTTGTTGTTTTAAGGTCGTCTTTTGTGCGTGAATTTTTGAGCGTATTTAGCTTTCTCAGATTCTGATCGATGTCACTTGCGGCGCTCTGTAATAGAGGTTGTGGCAGCATCCGGGGCCGCCGGAGCGCAACCGGAGTTCGTGTGTGCCTTAATTTCAAACCGGAGATTCTCGGGCTCTGTTTAGAACCAATATTTGTGTTGGGCGTCTTTGTCGATATAGCATAACCGAAAGGCCGGCGTTACGTGCGCCAAATCTCAAATCGTCCACTATATTAGTTTACACATCTCGCATTGTCTTTACATAAGGCTGCTTTGTCTCTTCCTTGGCCGTCGTGGATTAAGAGGGACGACCAGGAGGGACGTGCGTGTAATACGCAACGAGAGTTCGTTATTAGTTGCGGTGATAGACTAAGAGATTCAGCTGGTGCTAGTGACACGAGGTCATGGCCTGTCGTGATAAAGAGATTATTAGATTTGAATTGGAACAGGGTTGTTTCTCACACAAAGACTCGACTACGCCTCAACGATATACTGGCGAATTACTTTTATATTCGTGCCGATGAACCGCAAATAAAAGAGACGTGAAGATCTTTTATATAGCCATTTTATCATATGGAGTGGTAGGAATGAAATTGATGTTGGATTTTCAAACTGGGAGGGTTAAATTTATCGCAATGTAAACAATTTGTTCATGCATACTTCCGCGCGTGGTGGAGAAAAATTACATTTTCATTCTTTTCAGCGCCTCCTTCGTCCGTCGAAATTTTAGACCATCGGCATAATTCCAAGATTGAAATAAAAGAAAATCAAGAGTTTCATCTTGAATGCAGAGTTAGAAATGCTAAACCGGCAGCCAAAATCGTTTGGTACAGAGGGAACGTTGAACTAAATATACGTAAGTACTGACAATCCGACAGGTTTTGGTAAATTCCTGGCCTGACAAAACAAATACGTATTTATCTCAAAACAAAACCCAATTTATTCGACATAATCTCCATTTAATTTCGTCCGTTTATTTAAAATTATTGCTAGGCATTATAATATTTCGCCATTTACAAAAATGTTCGTAAATTCTTTGCTAATTCTGGAAAGTGAAAACAAATTTCTGCAACCTAACTAACAATTTGTTTCACAAAACAATATTAAATAATAGAAACAATATGTTCCTGTTATTGTTTTTTCACATTGTAGATAATAATCCTTATTCCAAAAGAGCGTTTTCCGAACTTTTTTCAGGTATACTGTTTTCTTGATCTGCAATGAGGAACATTTACCGTTTTCCCGTCCAAAGAATGAAGAAGCATGACTTCAAAATACAAGTAGTTTCTTAAATCTAAATCTTTATTTTAAAAATCATTTGAGAATAATGATTTCAGTGCAGGTTTTACTTCTTCACATCTCCCCTTTTTAATCTTGACAATTCAATAATTTTTCATATGTAGTCAAATCTGAAAGGAATTTTTACTGTTTTGTAATTTACATATTCGTGTAAATTTATTTACCGGATAAGTCTCTTAAAACAGATTTTTATTATAATTTTATAATAAAATTTCTATTTAAGACAGGTCACAATTTGCCAAAACCGTCTTGTAAATGTGATTAGTTTAAGCATGATAAGGTTTTTTGCAGCTGATCGCGACGATCAAATAATTGAGGTTCCTGGTAAAAACGGCGATAAAAGGGTTACCAGATACGACACGCACTCTCGTATATCTTTGAAACCAACAGCTGAAGATGATTATGCGGAATACACGTGCGAGGCAAGACACGAAGCTTTATCCTCAGACATACCGTTAAGAACAACAGTACAATTGAGCGTCTTCTGTAAGCAGATTCACTTTTTATCCCACGGTAGTCTTCAATTATCGCCCGATTGCAGATCCGCCTGGCCCGCCCTACATCGAAGGCTACACGGAAGGTGAAACCATCCGCAGGGGCCAAACTGTGGAACTAGTTTGCAGAAGTCGGGGCGGCAATCCCCCAGCCCAATTAATCTGGTACAAAAATGGCGAGCAAATTCGGATGGCTTACAGAACTGCCGGACGAGTATCCGAAAACGTCTACACTTTCACAGCTGACGCCAGCGACAACAAGGCTCGCTACAAATGCGAAGCGAGCAACATCATGTCGAAATCGCCCCTCAAAGCCGAAGTTGATATGACCGTGCTTTGTAATTAATTCAAAATATCGCCCCGACTTCTATTCATTACTTTTTTGTAGTCTCACCAGCACATGTCACCATATCAGGGCCAACGGAAGCCAGGGTTGGCGATCCCGTACCTCTCACTTGCACAACCGCAAACTCGAATCCGCCTGCTGAAATTAAATGGATGGTGGCCGGCAGACAGGTTAGAAATGCCACCTCCAGGACGGTCGTTTCCCCAGAAGGAGGCTGGATCACAACTTCAAACATCACAGCCGTTGTTGAACCGAATCGGAGAAGTTTGGTTGTGATTTGTCACGGGCTGAACATGCAATTAACAGAAAATGTTGTCTCGACTCATACTATCAATGTTTTATGTAAGTTGCTTCCGAATTCCATTTCCGGACCAACAAAAATTTATCGCAGATCCACCAAGTGCGCCTTTTATTCACGGATACACTGAAGGGTCGTACATCCCGGCCGGAACCGTTCAAAAAATCTCATGTACCTCGTCCGGGGGCAATCCACTAGCCACCCTAACATGGTACAAGAACGATAAAAAAATCAATTCAGTCTTAAAGACCACGGACAAGTCAGTAACTGCAGAAATAACAATTCTGACAAATGTAACCGATAATGAGGCGCGGTATCGGTGCGAAGCAGCAAACTCAGCTACTGAAATCCCACTCTTCGAAACTATAACAATGAATGTTTACTGTAAGTACTTTTATTAGATTCTCGTTCCGAGTTATATTGTTGCTTCCAGTTCCACCTGATCACGTAAAAATTCGTAAAGAGCCGCTCGAACTGAAACCAAACGAGCAAGCAACTCTAACTTGTGACTCTAGCTCGAGCAATCCTCCGGCAAAATTATCTTGGTGGCGTGAAGGCATCCCAGTCCAAGGTCTCCTCAATACGACAAAACCCGGTCTTCACGGAGGCACCGTCTCTAGCATCGAACTGAAACTTAACATCACAGAACAACTCAACGGCATTGTTTACACATGTCAAGCCACTAATGAAGCTTTGCAACGCTCGGTCCATGACGCTATCACTCTTCAAGTTTTATGTAAGTCAGAATTTGCATCACTATGACAGCATTAATCCCCCCTTTCAGATAAACCCGTCTTCGACAAAGATAACGAAGAAGCGGTCACCGGCATAGAAGGCGAGCCATTAATAATCACGTTAAAAGCAGATGGCAATCCCCCAAATATCGCCTACACCTGGACAAAGGATGGTCTCCCGATTATCCAATCGTCTTCGAGTTCGGGCATCGAGAGGATTATCTCCGACGGTCCGGTTTTAAATATAACGAGATTAGGCCGACACGATGCTGGGACCTATTCTTGCGAAGCGTTGAACTCGCAGGGCAGTTCAGTAGCCCAAGTTAATATCACCGTCCAATGTAAATAAAGTGTGTTTCAAAGGGCAACTTCTAACCAATCGAATTTCAGACGCGGCGACAATTGTAGCGACTAGTGAAAATGTCGTAGTGAATCCAAATGAGGATGCGACGCTTTCTTGCACAGCAGACGGGAATCCGCTCTCTGATGATACAATTACGTGGAAAAGGGACGATTTTCCGGATTTTGACGCTCGCACCTCGGTTATGTACGATAAAAATGGGACGTCGTATCTGCGGATAACTGATGTTACAAGAGACGATTTGGGAAACTTTCAATGCATCGTCAACAACGGCGTGGGAAATGTCACGACGAAAGAAGTGATGCTCATAGTCAAACGTAAGTCGGTTTGGAGATAAATCACACAAAATAACAAATTGCAAATACAGATAAACCCGAAATTGATCAGCATCCTACCCTTCTTAAATTTGCAAGTGATGCGGGTGACACAGGGAGAGTTATTTGCCGGAGTCAGGCGTCTCCTTTGGCCAAGTATAAATGGGCGAGATCGGGATCGCCCATCACAGCCAACACCACCGGCAAATACTACACCACTTATAGACAGGTGAGTCTGAAATATTCACGATTTAGGAGGGTTCTTGATTGGAAATTTAGATCGACGCGCTCACATCGGAATCCGTCCTGTATATCACACACGTGACTTCCTCGGACTATGGCAACTACGAATGCGTTGCGAGGAACGAATTAGGATTTGCTACAGCTTCGCCAAGACTTGAAGTAACTTCTGCTCCAGATACTCCTACACTGCTAACAATATTAAACGTGACTCATGATACCGTTACATTAGGATGGACACCTGGTTTTGATGGAGGCATGAAAGCCTCTTATCGCATTAGATACAGACAAGTAAATGATGATGGCTATAAATATGTGGACGTCGTGCCACATAATGCCACTTCTTTTGTGATACGGGATTTGGAAATTAACACACAATACGTGTTCTCGATTATGGCGATGAATAAATTAGGAAACAGCAAATATATGCCCGATCTTTTGTCAGCCAGGACTTCGAGTAAGTCATATTTTTAAACTTTTGCTTTTTCTGTATTTTCTCGCACTAATTCAATCTTGTTGTTTCATGCAATTCTTTATTAACGAACTAACAATAGACAAAGTACCTCCATCTTATTCATCACCCAGCTTAGATGAGAAAAATTTAAGAAATTTTCCCGGGTTTCTTGTTATTGTGGGCACTATTGTTGGCACCTTACTAATACTAATGAACGTCTTGCTTATTGGCTGTTGTTTACATAGAAGATCCAAGAAACGTGTTTCAGGTAATTAATTTTTTTTATTTCTATCTATCTAGTGTACAGCGACCACATTGAGAAAATTATCCCAGAAGATTTGCTGGAAAAGCAAGACCTACCCAGAATTGTTATTATTAGTGTTTCTGTTATTGGTATTTTCCTTTTGATTGTCAACATCGGATTAGTTGCCGGTTGCATGCTAAAACGAAGAGCTAAAAGAATACGAGGTGTGTTTTTTTACATTTGTTATCTTCCCTCACTTCTGAAACAAAAAATACAATTTTTCTTGATTTACAGAACAAAGTAATCAAACAAGCAAATCTGCTACCATCGAAATGTACGCGCCTAGCAGCTACAACGATACCGTCACAGGGGAGACTTTATCTTCGGTTAGTGAGAAAAGTGAAACTTACAGTAACGAAGGAAGCAACAATGATTATGTTGTGAGTAGTTTTTTCGTATCCTATGGAGCTTAATGTCACATTAATGTCGCACATTTTTCGCAAACAAAATCAAAGCAAAACTAACACTTCAGATCATTCGAGTGTCTCATAAATGCAATGCAATAATGTTCAAATGGGAATCGGTAAATTTACTGCACTTGCCTTTGGCCCGACCGATGTAATGTATCTCTGGAATAAGATAAGCGTAATTGCATAATCCAAACCATGGTAATTTAGGGCTCCATTTTTTTTATTCACCCAAGTATGTAATTAAAGAGAAATCGGGAAAGACATACGTGGTTGAAATAAATTGAGCATTGTAGTAATATTTGGATATTTTCACCAGGACGAAGGACGCAAGCAAGCTACGAGCACTTATCTAATGGATCAGCAGGACTACCCAGGTGCGTACCCAGTGTGTCCCAGTTATGAGCTTCAGATGCAACCTAACATGGCTCACAAAACTCACACTCTTCCTCATCCTCATCATCACCACCAGCATCACATGCATGATAGGAACAGAGCTAGAGATGATCAGAGTCTTGCCTATCATGGCACGATGTCAGGTAACTAACTGCCTTGCTTGCTATTGAACACTAACACATCCTGTTACGTGACTAAAGCTATGAGAAAGTGAATGGTTTTGAATAAAAATATAATATGAGTCTTTTTTCAACATTTTACATCTGATTTGTATTTAAAAATTACTAAAAATAATTCTAAACATTATTTTACATGAATGAAGAAACTTTCTATAATTTTATTATACTTGTAGCCTACTCCTATAATATTTGGTAGCTTTTAGCCCCACCAAAAAAAGTTATCTACCGCATACAGCAAACAAATTCAATTCAATCGTTTGTTCTTCAACTTCAACTAAAAATTTGAAATACTTTGTTAAAATTTTTAAAACTGTTCTTTTCGTCAGGATTTTCGTTGGAAAGACAAACCAGTTCAGTATATTCCAGCACATATTTTGTTACTTTTTGTTCCCAAATTTGAAAGAGCTTTAAAATTTCAGCGAAATCGTCGTATGTGAGCGCCCCCTCCCCGGCGCCCCCCGCTGACGGTTCCTACTACAACATGTCCGATCGCTACTTGTCATACCCGCCGCCTTTGGATTTCCAAAATCCGCCCCCGATACCGGCGCATCCCCATATGGGTCATATGCACAACCCGGTGACGCCACCCCTTCCGGCCAACGGTTCTCTTCTGCGCCACCAAAGAGGAGCTGTGCCGCCGCCCGACGTTTTGCATAACACCAGCCAAAACCCTCAAATACTTCAAGCTCAAACTCTTGCTCAAAAGAGAGAACTCACCAGTTTTGGTAACGGTTATGGTGTTAACGAACAAGAAGGACATCTTGTCTGAGACAAGGAGGATATTTTATATGTCCTGTAAAATAAAGTGCGACTGATACTCAATCTCGATGTATTGAGTTTATTATAGACTGTGAATTTTTAATAAACTTTTCGAACGAATTTTCAAATGAATGATAATATCACTGCAATATAAAGACATAAATAATCAATTAACAGTGTATTTTGCTAATTTTGACTTAAAAGAAACTTTATAAATAATTAACAGTGTTGTTCTAGAGTTGTTGTATGTTGAATTATTGTCAGTACTGAAGAAAAGTGCATAAGAAGATAATAGTGCAACTGTAGATTTAGGTACTCGTATTTAGAGAATTTTTCGTTGATTTATTTGCAGATTTATTCATATGCTGTTGTATTGCATTACTTACTTTAATACTCAAAATTAAAATGTGATAAATTCTAATTTTAAAATATTATTATCTTCTTATGCTTAGCAATAATTTAACTAAAAGATAATTTCGTCATGAAATAAAAACGAACGAATAACTTGCTAACTGATAATCAGTTTATTTAAAATTAATGTGATCGTTGTATGTAAAGAATTATTGTTATTTTTGTAATGAAGCCTTTTTTGGAAAACATATTACTTAACATTTTTATTTTAAGTTATAGAATTTAAGTTCTTTTTGTATATATTTTTCCGTTAAGATTTTAATAATTTAAAAAATGTTATTTACTAGTCCAATCCAACAACCAAAGTGTTTTCTTATGTACATGAATCGTCTTTTATTTTGAGAGTAACTACTTTTTAAATTTCATAGTAGCGTTGTACTTGTACTATCATTTTCTTTTTTTTTATTTATTCTTTTATCTTTATTTGTACACAACTTTGTTACGTTAATAAATTTTGTACCTATATCAAGAATTTTTTTGTTAAATTTACCTGTTCTTTTTTGAATGTGATTAATTTCAAAAATTAATAAACAAAAATAACAAGGCAATATTACATCTTAAATCAAAAATGCAGTAAAATTTATAAAATGAGGCCCAAACCATGCGGTTGTAGTTGCGTTATCATAATTACGAAAATAAGAAACAACGAAACGGCCGTGTTTTAATCTCGAAACGTCATGAAGCATTTTGAATTCAGTTTTTATTAGCAAACGGACAAATGGGGTATGAATATAAATTTCACTGAACGATAAAAATATTTAATGCGTTATCATTTGCTAAATAAATTTTTTAATAAAATTGTTAGAGTCGAGAAACAATCATTTTTATAGATTATTATGAACTTTTATAGGTGGAATGTAACCTTTCCGTTTAAACCAATTAATCAAAGATGTAAATATGTAATAATGTATTAAAAATATGAAACTAATACCTTCCATTTTGCCATTGTAATAAGAATAATAATAAATGTTTAAAAGTGCCTTTAATATTAATACAATCTGCTGTGTATTATAATAGTGCAGTGTTTTAATTTTTTATTTAATATCACGATTGTCGCGTTTTTGGTTCGTTATAGGTAACTGTAAATAATTTTCAGTCAATTCTCTAATTATGTACCTACCGTAACTTTTATAAAAAATGTTTTTCTCAGTGTGCTTGTAATTCTGAGAATTGGTTTTACAACTATACCTATATATTTTTACCTTTATTGTTGTTGATATGAATGAATGCTCATTGTAAATTATACTGTTGAATTGTCCAGTCAATATAAACTTGTATGTCTGTTCATCTCATATTGTATATTGTTAAAATTTATGAATATTAAATAATCATAATGAGTTTCTATTATTTTTTCCGATCATAACATTCGCAATACATTGTCAGGATCCACAGTACTTTTTAATCTTTTTATACTTTCCCTAAACTTTATCCTATCAGCAAAGTTCTTTTAGTTTCTTTCCATGTATAATTTTAGATAAATATATGTAACAAAATATACAACAAAGAACTGTGGGAAAGTGGGACGAAGATATTTCAATAATACTCATATAACAATTTGTACCTACGTTCAGACCAATAAGAAAAAAATTAACTGTGCAAAAGTATATTATTTATAACGATTTAAAATTAGTTTCAATTTGTTTTTATATTGATATTGTGGATTTACTTTGGGATTTACGTACTACAATTTCAAATTTGCATTTATTAGCCATCGAATATAACAGTGATTGTTATGTGATGTTTAAAAAACTATATCAATATTTTTTATTATGACACAAAAACGGCTTTTACCACCTTTACCCTACCAACACTAAAAGATTTTAAAGTTTAGTTATTATTCAATTTTCACCTTTTAGTTGCCGGCACTTGACATTTTTTCTGAAGCGCGAGTTCTAAAATTCTTTGCATATTTTTTTATTTTTATATTAAAACTACACACATAAGAGATGTTTGTTTGTATAACCAACAATTAAATTTTAGTATTCTTGTCATTACGGTTTTAACAATAGTGTGAATTTAAAATGACTAAAAAAAGGAAGCTCAAACGGACATAAATCAGATGCTTGATGCTTATATCTCGAAGATATAATTAAGTTCCAGAATTAGTACAAATTGTATGATTACATCTCTTAAGAAATAATGGTTTGTTACCGCATAATGGCTCTTACACCATCATACTATAACATCCTAAAATAAAAAATCTGGAATTGACTCATTTAAGAAATACCTATAAAACAAATAAACTTTATAAATAATTTATTTTCAATTAATTTTAAAATTTTATACTCAGAAAATTAGAACAGATATTTTCACTGGATTGTTAATTTTTACGAGTCACTAGATTATAACCAGTTAATAAAAGTTAATGTTTTTATAACATATTTAACTACTTATTACACGCAATAAAACACCTATGTTACAAACAAGAAGTTTGAAGAGGCGGTGACCCCAAACACACCTGACAAACCATCAATGTTCGATCATATGACATGATAAGATATGATTGATGACTGTCAGAGGTAGGTATTACAGTGAGCGTTAGTTTGACGTCAGTTAACTTAAAGAAATACATTGTCGTAACTATTTTACAAAAGATGCTCATGAAATTACTAGATCAAGGTTTAAGTACATTTTACAACTTCGCCTCGTTTATTACTTTCCTTACGTGGGATCAAATATCTGCATATTCTCACATGAGTAATAGCATCATCTTTGTTGCTTAACTGTAACTAAAACCGTCACTTTGTTGTAATTTGTTGTTTTGTAAAGTCGATAAATTCACATATGGTTCACTGAAAAAGCGTATTTTACTGGTTTATTACCACAATAAAATAAAACAAAATAGGTAAAGTGTTATGACATAAATTAAAACGTTTCAAGAGTCACCGTACTTTAGCACAATTTCCACGTGTATGTCTATTTGTAAACACGGGCATTATACTACAAAATTAGGTAATTTTATGACAAACTAACCAAACGTAAACTTTAGCTATCAAACTCAAACATTTAAACTGCAATAATTAGTGTCAGATATGATCGCACTTTCTGCTTTCTACCTCTTTTGAAATTCGCAAAAATCAAATTCATGGTCACTTTAAAAGAAGCAAAATGTTAGCCCCGTTTTTAGTATGTCTTCTAAATCGTAGGTCATTATATAAACGTCTTAATTTCCATTTATATATTTGGCGTTATACATGGTATAAAATAAATAAATAAATAAATAATTTTTATAAATATGCAACAATAAATAAATAAATAATTTTTGGCAAGTTAGTATGGCAAGTATTATCGGCACTTTTCCTTAAGACTTATTATTTGTTCACAATCTCTCTGACCCAGGGAATATATTCCGAAATTCTAGTGTACAGTCCTGGTAAAAATGGTCTAGCGCAACCAATTCCCGTTGAAACAACTCCAACAACCATCATTTGGTCTACTGTCCCAGTTTCAATCATCAATGGGCCTCCACTATCAGCCTGATCAAAAAATAAAAAATAAATAAATAATACCCTTTCTGAGATTAATATTTTACCCAACAAGCATCAATTCCTCCTTGTTCATGCCCAGCACAAATTTGTGTGTTTTGAATTTTGGTCTTCTTTCCTTGTGATTGAAACCATTGTCTACACTTTTCCGTTTCGATGACATTAACTTTAGCTTTTTGTAGGACTTTAGCACGTCCTCCTTTGGAGCTGTCTTCGTTTGTCCATCCCCAACCTGCAACCACAGCTGGGAGATTATCAATGGGTTTGTAGTCATCTTCATGAGAAGAGGCTGCTAAGCATGCTGGCGATACAGAGTCAGACCATACAAGTTTGTTATCAAGCTCTAGAATGGCTATATCGTCTTTGACTTTTCCACAAGTGTAATCTGGATGAATCGATATGGCTTTTAAGGTCATTTCGTAGGCATCGCTAGATTTATTTGTCAAGTCATGCTGTGCAATGGTTACTTTAATATGGGTAGGTTTGACAGTATCCGTTCCGATTCCACTGAAACGTATCAAATGGCAATGCAGATATGGCAATGTAATTAAAAACACTCACGTGCAAAGACAATGACCGGCTGTGAGAATAAATCTGTTACTGATTAGAGTTCCTCCACAAAAGTGGCCGCCTCTTCTTGTTATTGACACCAACCAAGGGAATTCGCCCTTATCGGCAGTAGTGCCTCCTACAATTTTTCCTTCCCTTCTTGTAGGCTTATGACCACAATTGACATCAGCAACTGCAAAAGCTTGGTCTTAGAAGTGCGTTTCATTATAAAGAAGATTATTTCGAAAACCTTCACACAGTTTTAACTAGAACACCGGGACACATATTATAATATACTTACAATTATTAAATGCATTTATTCCACATATTAACATAATTATCACTAAGCACTCGATTTGCATTTTGAATTGCGACTAATTTTTCAGAAACCAAAAATTTTGGAATCACTTAGACACTCAACTGTACATAGGATTCCTCTGGGTTAATCACGTTTTTCCTAGTTTTTATTAAATTAACCTATAGTTAGTTAAGACTAATTGAATTATGATTAATGAGGAGCAAATGTTTTTTTTTATATGTGTGACATATACGTGTTATTAGCAAGTAGGGATAATTCCCCACCTAAGGTGGTGCACTTCAAGGGTAGCTCTCATTAAAATTCAATGGCAATACTGATAACCTTGTCTAGCCCTGAAGGCTGGCATTGTTTTCACACAGATAAGAAGAGGTAAATAATGAAATGCAGTGTAGGTGTGTGTGGCAAAATGCAAGGTTTATTGAATGTTGGCGGCGTCATTTGGCGCTGTCTGATAATTAGTGTAATTTTACAGGAAACAATTAGTGCGGATGGTTCAATGAATGAATGAGGTACGAGTATTGTGTAATATACCTTTATGCATGGTTGTGAACTTGGCTCATATTATCAATTTGCTAAGGTCTGGCACTTCCAAGTTTTGGGAAAGGACATGGTGCGGCCTTCATTGATTCAAAAAACTTTATCAAAGTTTTAAAAATCAATTGATAAATTCTGAGAAAAATAATTAGCACCAGCAATGTATTGTAAGCTAAAAAAGTCAATTTAAACACAAACATCACTGCTAGTGAGTAAGGTTGCAACGATTTTACAGACCGAAATCCATCCTCAAAATGACCAAAAAATGTTGTTAATGTGATGGTTGTTATGGTCTTTTTATATCGAGTGTTCCGTTTTTATTGTTTTCTTGTATTCTAGGTATTGCATTATTTTGATGTATCAAAAAATAATATGTAAACGGCACCCCCTCAAAAAATCTTTTGAGGGTTTTTTATGGAATTACTCGAAGGCCTAATGCTGTTTCTATTTATTCTTGCTATAAATTTCATTAAAAATTTTTTGAAAGTTGAATCCTATTATGTATGTTTTTTTTTAATTTAAAAATAACAATATTAATATTGTTTTTATTAACATTAAAAAGAATCCGATGAAATTATTTATTTTATGTATTCTTAATTAAGGTTTTATTCTAAATACTTTCAATTTCAAGAAATGTTGATTCACAATTTATAGTATTGTTGAAATGATTTTACCTTGTCATACTATAAAGACACCATTATAGCAATAATTATTATAATTGTTATAACTTTCCGTTCACATCTAAACCAATTTATTCCTTTTGGTTATAACGCAACAGTTCTACGCTTCATCTACTTTATGTGATTATGGTGAACCTTCAAAGTCAACAGAAGTAATTATAATAGGTAAAATATGATTTATTTTGCTGCATAATTTAAATGATCGCTAGCACAGAATACTCTATTGCTTTGTTTTTTGAACATTTTTGGTAAAATAGCTCACTATTCAGACAAGTATTTTAATTATTTACAACTTATCTGGTCAAGCAATCAAAAAGTTATTATAATTATTTAATCATCATAGCGTTTTATTTATTGATCTAAAATTGGAGGTCAAGTTGAAAAGTTGTCGTTATTGTTACTGAGTTTTTTTACAAAAAATACTAATAAAACATCTTAGGCATAATTTCTGTGTATTAATAATACAAACTGCATAATAAATTTGCGATATCTGACTAGATGGTAGTTGTTACTCATAAATAAAATTTTAAATTGCAAGAACAGAAACCTTACTCATCAAGAAATAACAATAAATTCGTCTTATAAATGTAATGGTAGAAATGTATTTCTTCAATCTTGACGTGTTTTATAACTACATACAAAGATGTTGCTTGATGTTGTTAAGGTGCTAGGGTTATTTGTTCAAATTAATATATTATAACACATCAAGGGCAATCCAGCAGTAAGAACAAATTGCTTGAATCCGTTTTGTTCCATTTATGAGATAAGACTTATATGGAAAGTATAACAATGTGCAATTTTTTCACCTTTTTTGCCCTTGTTGGTAAATGTTTCTCCTGTGAGTCTAAAGCAGATGTTTATAATTAACTCAAATCATTATTCTTAAACACTTATCTTTGAAAAATTCTTTTTGATTTTCCAAAGTATTCCAAAGTAGAGTTTCAATAAATAAATCAATAGGTAGTAATAAGTGTTCACAAATAAATTTTTCCTTCGATTATTATGTAATGGTAAAATGAGGATAAGAAAAGAAGATAAATATAAAGTAAATTTATTTTATTTGAACCTCTAGCGACATGAAAATCGGCTTACAATCTAGCTTACATTCTTTGATTAATTTCATTGCAAAATCTTGTTAAATAAATTACAGAAACAATTGATATAATTTACAGAAGCGGACTCGAGCAAATTAAAATATTTTCAAATGTCACATAAATAAAGTCTTGTTAGCACATCAGCTCATCACTGTCTCTTAATTAACTGTTGTAATTAACAACGTTCCAAAACCCGTATAAAGAAGCAAATTAATTAAGCCTATCATTACGGAATCAATTAAAATTGCATAATCTGTCAACAAATATCGGTGAATATGGATAAACTGGGTACAAAACTTTGTGAAATATAGATCTGCTATCAGCGAGACTCTCGCTTTCAGGCACGACCGCGTCTGCTTCAACAGTAACGCTATTACGCTCTAAGCTCCATGAAAAGAGATTCTTATCTTGAAGAGGTTTACGTAAATGATCCAAATGCATATTATAGTGTGCGTCAAAGAATTTCCTGCTTTGACTTAACATTAAACCAGTGGCATAAACATTTCTCGCTGGTACAAAGTCAAAGACTTATAACATACCCAAGTAAAAATCTATAAAACTGGCTAGAATAGTCAGGGATATGTATGTACATCATTAAAAAAAAAATAAGAATAAAAATAATATATTTACTATGAATACATATCTTTATGAATACATATCTTCTTCGTGTTACCTACTTTTTTTCACGAAAATAGAAGAAATATTAATATCTACAATATCTATTTCCTGGATTAAAGTTGAAAATGTCAAAATTCATATCAACAAAATATCCATTTTTGGATAAAAGTCTTTTAAGTACTTTACTTATTAAGTTTTTATTAAACTGACTAATAAGAGTAATTTAGTAGTAGTAGTGTAATTTTAGATTTTTTTTTATGCGAAGGTTGGCAAACTGCATAAATTTTATGGCTAGCCCAACATTTATAGACATCTAGTGCAAACTTGCGTAAATATCACTTGCAGGATCATCCTGCAAATCGGCAATTAAGGTCCAGCCTTGCTCTGAATTCAAATTCCAACAAAAGCATCATTTTCCGTCTCGCAATGGTATATTGCACGATCTGCGGTAACGACAAGTTTACAACTCTTCACGGACAGAGACACACAGATTCAACACGTACTCGTATGCCGTATATTGCAAGTTGCAGCTGAAAGAAGATACACTTTTAAATGAATAAATAATGGATTTGCACACAGAGAATGCAGTATCGAGCATTTTAGATCTTGGTATTGCGTGTCGTGTGACACTTTCGTAGTGCGATAGTTTATTCCAAGGCAAAAATACGATAGGAGACTAAAAATTGCAGAATTGGATCCATTGCGATGATGCACTAAATACATGATTGTGAATCACGACTTAATAGGTATATAAACGGAGGATTCTTCACCATTTTCATTCAATAGTCCACACTGCTTTGTCACTAGTCTAGGTAGCTGTATTACCCTATGGTTTCATTTAACGGGCAAGTGGTGTAGTAATAATGGAAAAAGTAAGCCCTTCCGTATTATTACAAATTTTTGAAATATTTTTATAACCAAATTAACAATTTATTAAATATAAAATTATTTTTTAGCACTTTTTAGTATTAGTTTTGGCGTGGAGTACATTGATAAAAGCCGAACCACCGGTCAACTCCTACCTACCACCATCTCAAAGTAAGTACTAACATCAAATTTTATGGTTATTTATTCTATTATAATATTAAAGATGGAGGCCCAAGTTCAACTTATGGACCTCCCGGATTTCAACCAGGACCTCCTTTAGGTGGTGGAGGTAACAGTGGACACCCACCCTCTCAACCTGGATCCACATACGGTCCGCCATCTCAAGGAGGAAATGGTGGTTTTGGCGGAAGACACCCTGATAGTGATCAAAGACCTGGCACTAGCTACTTACCACCTGGACAAAACGGAGGTGGCGGAAATGGAGGAGCTGTTGGTAGACCTGGAGTTACATATGGTCCCCCAGGACAAGGAGGAAATGGGTTTGGTGGAGGTGCAGGTGGTGGTAGACCTAGTTCGACGTATGGTCCCCCAGGACAAGGAAACGGATTTGGAGGTGCTCAAGGAGGTGGTAGACCGAGCTCAACGTATGGTCCGCCTGGACAAGGAGGAAATGGTTTTGGCGGTGGTCAAAATGGAGGTAGGCCTAGTTCTACATATGGTCCACCCGGACAAGGAGGAAATGGTTTTGGCGGTGGCCAAAATGGAGGTAGACCCAGTTCTGCATATGGACCACCCGGACAAGGAGGAAATGGTTATAGCAATGGTCAGAATGGAGGCAGACCCAGTTCTACATATGGTCCACCCGGACAAGGAGGAAATGGTTTTGGTGGTGGCCAAAATGGGGGTAGACCTAGTTCTACATATGGTCCTCCCGGACAGGGAGGAAATGGTTTTGGCGGTGGTTCTAGTAATGGAAAGCCAAGTTCAACATATGGAGCTCCTGGTGAGTTTACAAGAATTTTTTTTTATATAATTTAAAAAATGATTATATAAAGGGCAAGGAAACGGAGGAGGTCATAACGGTCAAAGACCAGGCAGTACCTATGGACCACCTTCACAAGGAGGTCAACAACCGGGTCAATCATATCTTCCACCTTCTCAGGGAGGCACACAAGGTGGAAATGGTGGATACCCAAGCGGTGGGCCTGGTGCTCCTGGCGGTGGTGCTGGTGGATATCCTAGTGGAAGACCTGGAGGTAACGGTGGATATGGTGGCGAAGAAGAAAGCACAGTAAGCATTATTTATTTATATAAACATTAGTGTTATTTACTATTTGAAATTCAGGAACCGGCAAAGTACGAATTCGAATATCAGGTAGATGATGATGAACATAATACACATTTTGGACATCAGGAGTCAAGAGATGGCGATAAAGCGACAGGCGAGTACAACGTTCTGCTGCCAGATGGCAGGAAGCAAGTTGTGCAATATGAGGCGGATTCCGAAGGATATAAACCAAAAATCAGTTATGAAGGTAGCTAAAAGTTTAAAAAAAGTGCTGAGGGTTTCGCTATCACATTGCACATTAACAAAAGCTTACTAAATGCTAAACTAATTTCTTTAGTTTGTGGTTTGTTAGGTTTTTATAAATTTTTTATTAGTTTAAAACCGCTAATAAATTCTAACCTAATTATTCTTAAAAATGTAATAATTTTGTAATTTAGGAGGTGGAAACGGCGCTGCGGGTGAAGGTTATCCTTCAGGCAGACCTGGGGGCAATGGAGGTTACCCAAGTGGCGGACCAGGAGGTGTCGCTGGTAACGGAGGATACGCCCCTGGAGGCGGATACTCTTCTGGAGGTCCACAAAGTGGCAATGGAGGATATCCTTCTGGTGGCCCTCAAGGAGGTAATGGAGGATATCCATCAGGAGGCCCGCAAGGAGGGAATGGTGGATATTCATCAGGCGGCCCACAAGGAGGGAATGGCGGATATCCATCAGGCGGCCCACAAGGAGGGAATGGAGGATATCCTTCCGGTGGCCCACAAGGGAGTAATGGAGGATCAGGACCATATTAGGTGTTCAGATATATTATTTTCTAAAAGATTACGAAATCTTATTAATAAATTTAAAACTTGCTAAAACAATTTTTTATTGGTTTTAGAAAAAATATAATTCACATAGACCATTATTATTTTAATCATTTTTCATCCCATATTCACTATGACGACTGCTTCGTTTTAAGGAAATTGACTCATTTATTATTGTTAACTTATTACAATTTCATTTAGATACCTCTGCATTTTACTAGTACACTTTTACACTGTATATACTGTATCAATACACTTTGTAAAATAAAAGTTTATTGTCTAATGGTATTTTTGTTTATTTTTGTTTTTCATTAGCCTTTTTTATAAATACTTAATTGAATCTGTGTGCGTGTTAAAGAACTATGAGACTGGAATTACGTATTCTTTGTAAACATAGATAACTAAAGCTTAAACAAAACCACGATATTATGCCACTGTTAATTAAAGAAAGTAAACAAAATGCATACCTACATAAAGTCGCAATCATAAACGCGTGTTCATTAGCTGTCCATTTACTTATAAACAGCATAATTTTTTGGTAGGATAATGTCGATATGAGCTATTGTTTCATAGTAGTGCACTCATGTAAAACAATATGCAATTAAAAGTTGACAATGACAATGAGAACCATTTAATAATCCTTCATCACTAAATATAGAATAGGTAACCAAACAAAAATTACAAACACAACCTCGGCCGCAATCTAGATAATTTAGCTCGAATACTCATGCTCATCAGATAGGATGAGATACTGTTTATTATAATTATTTCCATGAATACCTAATGATTTTCAACTACAAATAAATGCGAAATTCAAATTATATTTTTTAATTCGTATAATAAACCAACAACCTCGTTATTACAAATCATTAATTTACGAAAAAGGTAGTCCAATGTAAACACTTTGATGTGTAAATTACAGGTCAAAAGTTTATTATTTTTTATGTTTATTATTTTTTATGTTCATTTAACTGATCTGCAAAGTGTAGGCAGGCTCTAATTAATTTAAATAACATAGCTGGGCAGAATACAAATGAATTTATTAAATTATAATGTTTCGAGTCTTTGGTTTTATTAAAATTTTTCTGTATGTCGAAAAAATTGGAAATGGGTAAAGTTCAAAGTAGGCGTTTTTTTCGTGCTTATGTCTCAATTGCGTTATTTCTACCTAAAATCAAATAGAACGGCGGTTCAAAGCTTTTAACACTGTATTTAAATAGAAAACTGCTGCATTAGCCACTTAATTTATTTCGTTTCATTCATGTCTTAATTCTAAATGATACTTCTAAGTAATAAATAGTGCAATAACAATAAATAAATAATTAACGCAATTACAAAAATATTTTTAGTTTTAGAGTAAATATTGTATTCTGATAATACAACCAAACAGACACAATAAATATTTTCCCACTCTTTTTATTTTAACACTCCACCTTTTAAAAAGTCTTTTATAAAGTGGCCATTACATGATTTACTGATGCGCTCCATTTTAAAAACTTTTGGTGCAGAACGTCTATTTACCGGTTCGAGTAAGTCTATAACTCGTTTATTAAATTTAATTAAGCCAAGAACTCTTCCAAGAATAATGATTTTGAATTCACGAGTGAAACACTTTAAACCAAAATAGTTGCATCACATTCTCTTGCTCAAGGGAATTCTATCGTACACCAAATGGTAATTCATAATAACAAACATAATATCACGCAGCGAAGCAGATACATCTATTTTGTGAAATCTTTACATTACCATGGCAAGAGGGTGTATTTAGTAAACGTTTTTACGGCGGCTTCTTTTACCAACAACAAAAATGTATTAAGTACAAGCCGGTTAAATTAATGCAATATCTTGTTGCATCACTTTGCATTGTAAAAATTAAGTATTTGTTCTAGAAGTTGCCGTATGATTAATATGGTGTTCATTTACTAGATATATAACACATCTTGTTAAAGTTGTAATAACTACAATTTCTATTAAAATAACATCTGTTCAAATTAATTAAACCGTAAATCAATATTGCTACCTTTAAATTCATGATAGGTACCCGCAATTCGCTTTCATATATCAACGTAAAAATGTAAGGCAATCACATGATTGTTTGATATTTAGTATGGTCTAATCTTGAATGAAAAAATCTTAATTAGATACAATTTAAACTATTAGCACTATAAGCGGCAATTTAATGGTCATTTGCAATTAAATTGCTTGTCATAGACACATGATGATTGAAAGTTTTATTTTACTTAAGGTTTTTATAACATCTTTAATTAATTACAGTCAATTAGATCCGACCTAGATAAACACAAAATACCTAATCTACTTTGCACTAGACACGATTATTGCGAAATTGGTACTCAAAGGTGTAATTCTTCCTCTAAAGTAATATCTATATAGACTGAAATTTTCAACCAAAGAAATTGAAGGTTTTTGCGATCGAAAACCATTAAAACCAAACAGTAATTATGTTACATTTAAAGATAATTAATGACTGGCAGACAGGAATATACTACTGGTGCATTAATTTTATAAAATAATCGTAACTCATCATCATCGTATTAAATAAATGCAATAAATGTTAGATAGAAAAACTTTGCAATCAACAGTATTATATTTTAATTAATATTCGGCGAGGGGCTTGTGTAAAGGAATTAAAGTTTTACTTTCATCTTTTTGCCATTTAGCATAAACAACTTTATCTTCTTCGGTGCCATTTTTGGTAAATAATAATTTGAATAATTTGTCAGGAATTCGTTTAGCTATTTGAGATTCTATGATAATTAGCGCTTTCAATTTGTTCACATATACTTGTTCCTAATTGATTATACGTAATTCTTCCAACATTAAATAACTTTTTAAAATTTAACAAAAGCGGCAGATAATACCAAAGATTCTTACATAATGTCCTTTAATTGCCGCTTATTCTAATAAAGACATCAAACAGTGATTAACACGGAGCTGAAATTTAAATAACTTACATATTTCTTTAAAGAAAATATTTGCAAGAAATTCCTGGTTGCTGTGGAAAAACAATTTCATAAAATTTTTGTAAAGACGCAAAGTAGTATTGATGTCTGTAATAAATATGATCTGGAGTGCCTTAAACCGGTTTACCAATTATAAATTAACGTATGTTTCTTAAGTAATCACGGGAAAAGGAAATGTAAAAAGAGGGTTTCTTTTCTTGACAAATCTGCAAAAATTGCAATTTCTAAATTTTAAATTTATTCATGGCAACTAATTTTCTCTTTCAAACTTATTTTCTTAGGAAAATAAACAGTCATCTACTTTAACAGTAAAATGCCTTCACGCTTAAACCATTCCGAACAAATTGATACAGTCAATAAGTAGACAGTGAAGACACGATGTGGATATTACCAGAGACAATCATGGACTACGTGAAGTATCATTTAGTGTCTTGACTACTGATTTTATGGAGATAGTGAAGTTGCCTTCATCGGAAACTAACATCGCTCTGATTGTTATGTCATGACGAAACATTAGTCAATACGGCCATAAAATATATTTTGCTTTTGCTACAATTACAATTTAACCTGTTTTAAGGAACCAGTTTGATTTAAGACACAATAAAAAGAATAAGAGTTTTTGATAATCTGCAAAACTAAAGTATAATGAAACTACAAGTTCTCAGTAAGCTAGTACTTACAAGAATAAAAGTGTTTAAAGAAATTTTAAAAAAACCAATTGCATAAAACGTCATTTCTTTTTGAGTCCGGCAAATAAAGAAAATTAATTTTTTTTGAAAAAATATCGAACCTTCTATCCAGTTACTCTCAAATGCTGCTTGAGGTATCAGTTGACTCTAAAATACAATTTTGATATAGTAAAACAATAAAAGATATTTAATGGATCTTATGTGATTTTTTTTGCAAAACTACTACTTATTACTTGTTTATTAAACACAATTCACGTAATATAAGTAGAGTTAATCAAGAAAAAATATAATACGATTTGATAGTTAGAAAGAGCTAATTTGTTGTTCTTACCTTTATTACTAACTCATTGCCCCACCAGCAAAACATTAACAATTCTGCCAAAAGAGCCGCTCCATAAACCGAAATGGCCATAAAATGTGTACTTGAAGGATTAACAACAGTCATCTGAAGAAATGTCATACAGAGAGCAGTCGTACTTAATATAAACTGTCCAAATAAATAACCATTCAAAATGTGGTACAATTCATTATAACAACTACAAAAACAATGGGTCAAAAATCTTATCAGTCATAAAGTTGTAAGGTTGTACGTACGCCAAAATCTCTTTGTGGTGACGTATACAATCCAACAAACTTTGCTCCATAGTACTTTTGGCTTCTCTGCACATGTTTCTTAAATTATCTGCCAAAAATTCAAGTTGTATCACCAAAATCGTTATGAAATTGATAGTTAAAGAATCACTGTTTACATGAATAAGGGCATGAACCATAGAAGCGGTAAATTGGAAAAAAAGTGTCAATTCAAAGTAAGGGGATTTTTTAAAATCATACGGATACCAAGCGTTAAATGGCAATTTTCTATTTGGCAGTTCTGCAAGAGAGTAAAGAGTAAAAAACACAACTGTTAAAATCGATCCAATTAAATGCAATGAAGACATTGCATTGGATATTTTAAATGTATCAGTTGCAATTTTCATCTGGTGCGTATTTTTTGATTGAAAATCTGGCTGTGTCACCATTTCATTAAGTTTGAGAATGCGGTCTTTATTCTTGAGAAGACAGTAGGCCTTAAAATTTGTTAATATCGTCGTTAGAGTTAATAGTCCCGATGATGACCATTCTTCAATATCGTGCAGAGAATAAAAAACATTTATCGTTTGGGCAATGTTATGCAAATTGTAATAAATGTTGAGCAAAACTGCATACACAAAGTATAGATCATAGGAATCGTTTTTAAACCACGTTCCTACGTATCTCAAACGTCTAAGAATTGTGTTCGTTCTTAGCTGAAAATTGAAACCCATCTTTTACC